GGTCCGTTCTCTAGTGCTTGTACTTCACGCTCCTTCCGGTTGTGCACAGTGACAGACACTTGTCCTGCTCGTAGCTGTACGTACGTTCCAGTGCATCGAGATGGTCGTTCGGGGCTACGTCCGAGTCGAGATACTCCCTCGAGCTCTTGCAGTTGACACACGACACACAACTGGCGCAGTAGATGACAGGACTCGAGCTCGTCCCATCGCGTTTCTTAGGATTCAACGGTAACTTGATAGCCGGCGCCAAGCACGAGCCGTGGAAGCCTCGATCACAGTGTCCACATAGCAACAGCGACTCCGTCTTCGCTAATTCCAACGACGTCCTCCCCCGTGTGCGTAAGTGTGGTGGTCCACCATTGTTCGCCGGTTAACCAGAAAACAGCTGGCGCTCACTCTCTGCCACGCCACAAAAGGCTCTCGGTTGGGCCCACGAAATCTCGCCAACATCTGGCGATTGCAACAACCCCATATACCCAGCCATTGGTCGCTGTCTCGAGTCGAGCGCACTCATCCAGACACGCAAACGAGTGGAACCTTCTCCGCAGTCCACGCAGAAGATGAATTCACTAGACAGGCCGGCACTCCCACACACGGCACACTGATCCAGCCAGCTGTACGTGTGCGCCGACGTCCGTGTCTGTACGAGTTGAAACAGCGCGACAAGAGAGCGCGACGTGGCAATACGCAGCTTGCTCTGGTGCACGAACGCGTCGTTCGTCACGATCCGTCGCTCCGTCTCCACCGCCACCGCGTTCCCATTCGATGCAGCCACACCAGCGTCACCGATAGCGTCGCTCCTGCTCTTCACTGTTGATTCCATTCCGTTACTGTTCGTATCGCTGTCGTGCACTGACGCCGCGTCCGATACCAACGCCGCAGCGCCAGTCGAAGGCCCAGCGTTGTCTGGAACGGCCTCCGAGCCAGCATCCGAGCCGTTGTCTCCGTCGTCTTCGTCGTCAAACTCGTCGTCCTCGTCGTTCTCTCCACCTTCGCCACCGATCGACTCGCCCGTGGCCTGAGCCAGCGCCGAATTGTTAGGCAACTGCCGCTTCGCAGCCACTAACAGCGCGTCATAGTGACGTCCTCCACGTTGTTTCATACGCGCCTTCGGTGCCGTCTGTCGGAAAATCCGCTGGCCTTGGCCGTAGAACCGCCACGCCTCGCGCCAGATCAAAAAGTCGCGCTCCTTCGTGTTAAACGTGACGGCGTTCAGACACATGAGCTCGAAGTCGTCTCGGAACGCACGGAGGTTGACGCTCGTGTACTTGCCCGCCAGGATCTTGTGCTGCATCGTGCTCAGATCCATCGGCGTCTTGATGATATCGAAGTACGTGGGTGCAATGGCCTCGGTCACGGGCTCTCGGAACAGCACCAGCTTGTCTTCGCCGCCCAGGCGATGCAGAACATGCAGCATGCGCACCTTCCGACACGTCAGACACTCGTAATTGTGCAGCATCTTGGGGTCGTAGCCCGATCCGAAGCGTAACGAAAGCGCAAAGTCTTCCTCCACCTGCTTGGCCGTCTTCGCGGCGCCGTCATCTTTAGCTGCACTACTCTTGCCGCTGGATACAGCAGTGCGTTCCTCCGACGGACTCCGACTGCCCACAGGCGTCGAGATCGACTCTGCATCCACCTCGCGAGTATCCCGAGCGTCTGACGTACCCGTGACGACATCTAGAGCGAACTCACGAGCACTACTGCACGCGTGGAAAGCCGGATGTGGATCTGGCTCGCAGTCTGCGTGGATCCAGTGGTGACACGTCGCACACGTCAGCAGATCCACACTGGTCGCCAGCTGCTCGTCGTCCAGCACCAAGTTGCAGACGCCGCAGAACCGATTCGCCTTGTAGTACGGGATGCACGTGGTGCACAGCGCAGCGGTCTGTAGCGGCAGCCGCCATTGCGACCATCTGGGACTCGGCTCTTCTCCTGCGCGCACTTCATCGCTTTTCCGACAGCGACAGCCAGCACACGACGTGCAGTCGCTGCACACGAACGGCGTCTTGAGATCTGCAACCAGAACGTCTCCATTGTCTGGACTCACGAGCGAAAGCGGCGCGTGTGGCGGATCACAGCACGTGGCGTGGAACTGGTTGTCACACTGGGCGCACGCCAACAGCTCTTCTTCTACAGCGTCCGTGTCGTCCTCACACTCGTCCGCAGTCAGCAAACAGTTGCTACACGTAGCAACCCGCATCTCCGCGTCTCTCTTCTGCTGCCGATAACGCGACGCCAGTTTCTCGTATAATCGCCTTTTCCAGCAGCTCTTTCGAGTGGAACTCCCCGGGGAGGCCTCCCCCCACGTCCGAGCCACTCAACTCGAGCAGAATAGCGACTTCACTGAGTGTACTAACGTCTTCCAGATGATACACTACGCCGTCCGTGCCTTCAAGTAGATCAACCACGACGTCATCGCTCGTATCTCCGTTTTGACACGTGAGCGTGTGTTTCTTCGAGTCTTTGTCGAACGTCCTCACCATATACGCACCCGGTACCAATACACCCGACAGGACCACGATAACTTTCCCGACCAACACGTCCGCGATCTGCGTGCATCGATCAAAGGCATCTGACGCCCGTTTACCTCCTTTCGTGAGCTTCACGGGCGGTGGAGTGGACGTTAAAACCCGTCGAAAACCCGCCACTAACGCTTGGAAGAAGCGACTCGAGCACTCCGTCTCCATCTGCAGCTCTTTCTGCGCGCGTTCCAGTGACTTGGACAGCAACTCGTCGTCATTTCTCGTGTCGGGAGCAGCAAAGCGCTTCATGCTTCGACAGAGATACTTGGGCACCCAACACGACACAAACTGCGTCGTCTCCACGTGCTCACTGCTCGCAAATACCCGGACAAGACGAAAGTTCACACGCGCAGCGGTCTCCTCCTCTTGCGTCGGCAGTAAAAGCTTCTTGGCCAGAGCGTTCAGTCGCAGGACTTGAGCCGGCCACCACTGGTTCTGCAGCGCTGGCGTCTTCACGTAGAGCATCGTACGCGTGCCAATCACTATGGGGAACGTGTACAGCGGCAGCGACGCCAGCACGCCGTCTTCAAAGCGGATCGTATGGTGCTTGGACGGGTGCGTAGCGTGGAAGGCCACGACTCGCCCCATAACCCACTGCTTGTCCCACTGCAAGAACACGCCGACACTCTTTCCCACCAGCTCGTACATGCGGCGTCGCTCTTCACGCGAGTTCGGGATCTTCCCCACTCGAATTACCGCGTCCATATCCGAGACTTTGGCAGCTGTAGCACGCAAGAGACGGCCGTAGACTTGCATCTCCAGCACCATCTGCTTGGAGAAACGCGGCCGCTTCTTCCGACCGCGCTTGAGAGCGCGCAGACACGGTTTACAGAACCACGGACGCGCAGGGACTGCAGCAGCGTCGTCCGTGCCGAGAACATCGGCCATTTTGAACTCTACGAAGCAGATATCGCAGACAATGAACACACCGCTCTCTTCGTCGGCCATGTTGCTAGCGGCCACGTTATCGCCGGGGTCTGCCACGACCACCGTCGGGTTCGTATAGCTCCAGCCACTTTTCAAGCCCTCGAACTCCGTACGAAGACTTGAAGACGACGCCACCATCGTGATCGGCTTCGGGATGAGGATCCGTGGACCGCTAGTGTCTTCTACAGAAGCACTTCTGGACGATACGCTCGTGGGTTCCACCACTACAGCACTGCCTTGCGTTGCAGGAGGCCCACCAAGCTCTGTTTTCTGCAATTTAATGCTCTTCCGGGTCTCTGTCCCTCGACTTCGCTTCCTACTTACCGCTGTAGTCTTCGCTTCAAGGCTGGCGTTCGAAGCAGGCTCCGAGCGTCTGCGTGTGTATTCGACTTGTAAGTTTCGACAGGCTTCACACAGCATCACACCGTCCACTGTGCCACTCGGACGATGCAAACGATCCGCAGCGCTGCCTCCTGCGTGAAATCTCGTATCGCAGCCCACACAGCGTTGAAAGCCTTCACGAGCGTCACTACACGCTGGACAGAACCACTCGCCGTCCGGGATCTCGAGCAGTGGCGGGTTCAGTGTCAACGGATCGAACTCGTGGTCGCAGCCATCACACAACAAGACCGTCACGACCACCTCAAGCTTAGGAGAAGGAGCTTGTAGCGCAGGTAAGGGCCTGTTCCCACGCCGCGTGGTCTTCTTGCGACTCTTGCCTTGCTGCGCGCTACACGTTGGACAGAACCAGTCGCCACTGGGCACTTCAGTGAGCGGGGGATCCAGTGCCTTCATGTCGTACTCCCAGTCACACAAGTCACAGATCAACAGCGTCACTGGGACCAGAGACACCGCCGCGCTATTCACACTTGGAGCGGCACTCGCAGCGTCCATAACACAGTCGTGACAGAACCAGTCTCCGTTCGGAGCACTCGTCAGCGGTGGCTGGATGTGATTCAGGTCGATTTCACGTTGACAGCCCTCACATTTCAGCGTTGTCACTAATTTCGGAGCGACCGCCGTCGACTCTGTCTTACAGCTGCATGCAGAGCAGAACCAGTCGCCCTCGGGGGCTTCTGTCAACGGCGGATTCAATGTAGCCATGTCGAACTCGCCATCGCAGCCGTCGCAAATGACTACTGTCACTAAAGCGAGGGATTGGGCAACTGACGCGCAATGAGCACAACACCACTCCGTCTCGTCCTCTAGGGGCGCGTTAGCCAGCACGTGATCCAAACTGGCGTCTGTGTCCTGAGCGTCGCAGAATTCCTGCAAGCAGAAGCGTCCCTTGCACATACAACAGTCCGTCCACCACTGTACTTGACCCTCTGCTTTGTCTTCGTCGTTCACTAGCAGCGCAATGGTGCGCGTCTCAATAGATCCGTCCACTAGCTGCTTCGCCTGCTTGTTAGTGTCCAGTACACACGGCGCACACCACCCCAACGAGGCTAGAGACGACGAGCGACGTCGTTTCTTGCCTGTTCCGCGGTACACTTTTTTCTTCTTCGCATCTCCTCCATGGCCAGCTTGATAGCGACTCACACAGCGTCCGTGGAGACGTGCAGTGTGGCAGTTCTGGCAGTTGGTCTTCTCTTCAGCGGGTATCTGCACCTGTCGACAAGTCGTACACACCTCCACTGCGGATGAATACACGTCCCACTTGGTATCGTCATCATCCACAGTCATTTTGTCTTCGTTTTCGTCATTTTCTACCAAGAATTCACGTTTTCGCGTCGTTTTCCCGTCATTTGTGGCGGTTTGAGGTCTTCGCACGTACGGGAAGGCCAGCGCCGGCACTAGAATTGGCAGAGCGTCATCTTCTAGAGTCTTCTTCTCCTTCCTGGTCAGCTTTGTAGACTTGGAGCGACATTTCAAGCACGTAAAGGTCGATTCCCCCGTCTTTAGCCCGCTTCCTAGCTCGAGTAGACACTGAGCATGGTAAATACCGTCGCACACGCAGCAGCGAGCCACTTGTACGCTAATTTTCGTTGATGTTGCCTTCTGTTCGTGTTCTCCCGTCGAAATCTCATCAGCAGAAGCGATAAAACCCATTCTTTTAGCTCCCGAGAGGGGGGCTGAGACGCCTTCAGTGCGCGCGCTCTGTGGGGAGGAATCAGACGATTCCGCCGCGGGGACTACGCCCACTACCTGCTCACACACTAGACACGCAAAATTCATCTCTGATTGAGGCCCAAATCCTCCTGGAAGACGAAGAATCGATCGCGCAGAACAACGCCTCCTGCCGCAGCTCCCCGCGTCGCGGAGCCAAGAACTTTTTGTTTCTAAAACAGGCGTGAAGGGGCGCCGTGCGCGGATTGGTAGAAACTCAAAGGTTATGCTGGTTTGGTGTACAGATGGTGTGGATTCTGACTTCAAGTACAAATCAAATAGCTTCAGCAGCAATGGCGTCGTCGTCTTGCTGATATCGAATAAGATAGAGCTGCTCACTTTAGCGTCTCAGTAGGCCTGCTAAGAGCTATTAAAGTCAATGACAAGCCAGAAACTTGCTCTCCGGCAAACTCACGTCGTCTTCAGAACGTCGAGTCAACCGTTTGGCAAGAACCGCAAGAAAATTCACCATCGCTCTTAGATTCACAAACAAGGCAGTATCTTATATCGCTTCCATCACTTTCGCTACCAATAATGTCCTTTAACGATTCGTAATATCTAGTACCCCTTCGAAATCCGATTCTTCCCGCCGGAAAGGCCAGCTCTCAAATAAGTGCTTCGATTGCTCATTTCTGCTTGGAGTCACCAGCTGGTTTCTGCTTTCGCACCTCTTCATGGTCACACTTCCGAACTTCCGCGCTAGCCGCCACCTCATCGACTCTCACCTGCGATGACCAAGACCCTCCGCCGACCGCTTCCACCTTCACCACCGTTGCTGACGTCCGTGGCCTTCGTCTGCCGTCAATGGCTGCGCATTGAGGCGCTAGACCACGTGACGCGCGAGCTGGACGCGCTGCTGGACAACTCGCAGCTCTGGACGCTGGCCGAGGCGTGTGGCGCCGGCCATGAGCATCTCGTAGACCGAATTGCCGCGCGAAACATAGCCAAGATCCGGAACATGGGGAAGCTGCAGCGGCAGGCGCTGGCCACGTCGGCCATGGCGTCGGCCGCTGCGGGAGGCCACATAGCAGTGCTTCGCCGCCTGGCGGTACTCTTCCCGCAGGCACGCGTGACCAAAGCCGTGGAGGCTGCGGCCCGAAACGGGCGTGTCGAGGTGCTTGCGTGGCTTCACGAGCAGCAAGATACGCTGGAAGTGTTCTGGGGCGCTCGCGAGATGCTGGTTGCCGTCCGTGGTGGCAACCTAGATACAGCGCAGTGGCTGCATAGACACACAACACCACCAGAACACCAATTCTTGATTGACGTGGCCGCGCGCAACGGTGACTTGGCCATGATCCAGTGGCTACACAGCGTTGGCGCGGCGGACGAATGTACGGTGAACGCAGTGACCAATGCCGCCGAGAACGGCCACCTCGAGACGATCAAGTGGCTCACTGAGCACTGTTTCCGCAGCGACTGTCCGTCCATCCGGATGGACCAAGCCGCAGCCAACGGACACTTGGAAGTGATCCGGTATCTTCATGCAAATGGATCGCGCTGCACGACTAACGCTATGAACATGGCCGCCGCGAATGGACACTTGGAGACTGTCCAGTGGCTGCACGAAAACCGAACTGAGGGCTGTGAGCGCGCCGCGATCGATCAGGCTGCAGTAAACGGCCACTTGAACGTCGTGCAGTGGCTCCACGCGAACCGGACAGAGGGCTGCACTACGATCGCGATGAACGGGGCAGCACGGAGAGGCTTCTTTGGCGTCGTCAAGTGGTTGCACGCCAACCGTAACGAAGGCTGCACTACGAAGGCCATGGACAACTCTGCGAAGAATGGCCACGTCGAAATCGTGCAGTGGTTGCACCAATTCAGAGCCGAAGGGTGCACCACAGCTGCTATGGATCAGGCCGCCGCCTACGGACACCTGGAGACGGTCAAGTGGCTTCATGAACACCGTAGCGAAGGGTGCACTACTGCGGCCATGGACGACGCCGCACTGAACGGCCATCTGCATGTGGTGCAGTGGCTGCACGAGAGCCGAAGCGAAGGGTGCACGACTGCGGCCATGGACAATGCGGCCGCGTTCGGCCACTTGGCCGTCGTGCAGTGGCTCCATACTAACCGAGAAGAAGGCTGCACGGCCGACGCCATGGACCGAGCTGCTCGTCAAGGCCACTTCGACATGATCAAGTGGCTTCAAGTGCATCGAACTGAAGGCTGCAGTCTGTTCGCCATGAACAACGCTGCTGGAGCTGGGCGACTCGATATCTTGCAGTGGCTGCACTTGAACTATGGCATGGGGTGCAACAACCGAGCGATGGAGGCGGCTGCGTTCGGTGGCCACTTTGATATTCTTGATTTCCTTCACCGTGAAGATTTGACCCAGTGCACAGCCGACGTGGCCATCAAGGCGGTGGCTGAGGGCCACCTGGAAATCCTCGAGTGGCTCTTTCAACACTACCCGGAGCCAATCCCGTCGGCACGTTTGCTACGCATCGCCAAGCGGCATGATCTCTATTGTGTTGACTGGCTCGTACGGACAGGCAAGGCAGTTGATTATGATATGTGGTGATTGGAGGGCAACACCGGCCAATTAGTCCCACAGCAAGAGTATCAGTAAAATTTGATGTGGTATCTTTATTTTCATCCTACTCATGCTACCGTATTACTACGCAGTACACTACAAACTACAGTACACAATGGGGCAGTTAAGCTTAAGAGAACTTTGCACTTTGCACTTTGCAGCCAAAAACGCAACATAAAATGTACTGCGAACTTACTGGTCGGCCATGAAGATGCAAAGATCAGTTCGCTGCCGCAAACCTCGTGTTTGTTGCAGTCAAACCGTCCTTTCCGCTGTATACAATTTGGAGCACTTTGCAGTCACCAAATCACCTTAGACCTTCACTCCCACTTCAACCAATCGACCATCATTCCTACCGCTAGCGCCTCAATCCACATTTTTTGTTTAAGGCTAACACGATGTCGGAAGCGAAGGATAGTGTAACGGGGTACGTAGCACTAAGTGTACCCTGGTTACATGAAGTGTGACACTTCACACTTCAGGAGTATGACAT